ACGCGTCTCTCTCTCTCTCTCCTTCTCTTTCTCTCTCTCTTTCATATTTAAGTTAAAAGCAGAAAGAAACGGAAGAAAAATCTGAATAAAATTTGAACAAATCTGCACTCAACTATATTTTTTTTAAAAGAAGAGTAAACGCAGGTGATATTTATATAATATCAAATTTACATGAGAATTTATATTGCACTAATATTTTACTGAATAATTTTTATATGATCTGCTTTTAATCAACATCGAATATGTGTTTAATTTATCGTAGAGATGGGGATTACACGTTGGTGTATCCGATTTGTGTTAACTTTGATAACTGAAAATTATACACCATAATACGTTGAATTTTGTATCGGCTGAATGAAATTCAAGAGGATTTCAAGTCAATTACTCTGAAATAGACCTTTTGCCTTTTTAAATATCGTTCGACTTGATGATTTTCGCACAATGAAGAGATAAAGTTAAGAATATACACGTTTTATTCATATATACATGTTTCATCTGCGTGTATAAAAAATCTTTGACTGTAGGGTGCTTCGGATCAAATGGTCTGACGTTAGAGCCACGTTATTTCTCGTTCGCACGGAAGTAACCAGACAAGAATCTTCTATATGGATGTTGGGCACCAATCCAGAATCTGGACAAGAAAAGTCCATCCCTAATATATTGCGCATCGAAACTTTTTTTTTCTTTATTCGCATGAATTTCCTTAAAATTCGCTGAGGATTTTTACAAATTCAACGACGAATGATAACGTAGTGAATCGTAAAGAATCTTGAATTCTTTTACATGGAATTGAATTATTTATACATTCGTTTTATTTTAATTAATTCTTACATGAATTGAAAATATTAAAAAGACACAAATTATTTTATTCTTCAAATGTTCAACATTAATTTCATCAAAAGTTACGTCGCAAAAGATTTTATATTATAAAATATAATTTTGTAATATTCCATACGATTTTATCGAAACAAATTATTCTTTGTAACTTTGTATGTACCGTATCCGATTTGGAAAATCCGTAACAGTATATGGTGAAATAAGGGTGAACGGAGATGAACATACAGGGTATTCTTCAGGGCTCGTTATTATTCAGTATCATCGTGATCTCTACCCTCAAATAAACACCCCGTCTGAAAGGAATGTGAGTTCTCGTTGGCACGACCATTTTCGTCAGAGATTTTTCTATGGAGTCTGGGCAAAGATCCAGTATTTGATTCAAGGCTCGATTTGATATCCATGTAATCGATTCGGTCTGACTTTTTTTGGCACTTTTTCATTTCACAATACGTATGTAGTTTAAAATTACTTGGCATTGGTCATATTAGATATAACTGTAAAATAATAATGCAATCAGTGAAATCGTTCGTAATGCAAGCTTCTTGTTCTCGACTTTAATCTTTGATATATATATATATATATATATATATATATGTATGATTTCAACTTTATTCAACGTACATACGCACATGTATGCATATATACTTGCATAAAAAAGTCATATGTAGAATAGCTTTTGTTAGAGTAAACCGCCGAGGATGAAAATCCTTTTTGCTATGAAGAAAACTGAGGAGCTTTCTTTCAAAAATCCCGTTCAGCCTCGTACGTTTCTAAAGACTATGAGTAAAGAATGCTCGCTCCAATTTTTGTAATCCATTTCCTCAGGCATACGCCGTTGAGAAAAACGTATGAAAATTCATTCGAGATGAGACGAACGTTCATAATTAGAACGAGAAGCTTTGTACGAGTGTCGAAAAGAAAATCACAAAGATATCCTCCTTTAACTATTCCTTTTTCATACCTATTTCTTCCTCTTTTAGTAAGAATACTTCTTGCAAAGATCTACGTTCAGGATATGTCTTCAATGTGAAGAGCGAGAGAGATTTGAACGAAACTTTCGTCCTCTCGAGCCATCTTTATTCATTGTTCCTATCGACGATGAGAAAGTGGGGATGAGAAAGGGAGGAGGGAGGGAATGAAGAAGGAGGGTTGAAATGAGTGAGAGAATACGAAGGAGAATTAAACTTTTGGCCGTAGACAATGGGCAGCTCCCTTGGTATACACACGTTGAAAAGGCTACTAACAGGGAACAATGGTAACCTTGGCAATCTCTGTTCTGTCTCTTGTAAGAGATGGTCCAGAACGTTGTTCGGCGTACCGTTGCCGATGACGACGGTACTCTTGCTTTCGATTCACGTGGTGGTAGTAATGCCGGTCCAACATTAATACTACGGTCTGCTTTCATATTTCGACTCGACATGGTTGTTAGACCATCTCCTCCCTTTATATCGTTCTCCCTTTTACGCATGTAAACGAGTTCGCTACCCTCCTCGACTTACATATTTTACAGAATGTCTTGGAGAAAGAGTAAGAGGACATATCGGAAAAGGGAGAAAGGGATATTCGCAAATTTTTCGACGACTCAAGAGATCTTGCGCGTGATACACACAATTCCACGCCCACATTGAAATTTATCGGACACTTTTATCGCATGCTTTTGTCGTTCTTCCTTATACATATCCAAGGGTGATTTCTTTTATACTTACGATCGCAAGTACACGCCTCCAGTTTTTGGCTACATTGATTGTTTCCAAATTTACGATGAAAAAAAAGTCATGTTATCACATATTGTAAATTTTCCTCGTGTTTAGTTTAATAACAATGAGAAGGATATAGGTTTGATCAGAGAACGTTGTTTTATAGTTTGAATATTTGACCACGCCCTATGTCTACTTCTTTATTTGTTTACTCTCTCGTCTGTTATACTCGTTGTTGTCCTCAGTCATTCCGGAAAACTTTGCTAACTCTCAGTATCGAGACAAACTGCGTTGAATCGATTCGAGGACCATTCGACGATGTTGAATAGACATTCGATGTAACTATTCATATTACATTCGAAATATTAAAGACAAATATTATGCAATTGTTCATCCAAATAATTAACATTAATACAAAAAGATACGTTACAAGGATAATATTAATCAAGATAAAAAATCATTAATATTTAATACTTATTTCATTATTTTTTATCGTGCGCATTCTATTACTTTCTATACTCGACCATATTCAGCAATGGTTTTCTTTACGACGAGATCTCTCGTTACGGTACTAAAGCGTAAGCGAGATTTACGAGTGTCTCGTGTAAAGTCGAAATGAAACGACAAAGGAGAAAGTGCGAGGAAGCGGGAAAGTCGAAGGTTTAGGATGGTTAGGGGGTTGAAAACAAGGCATCCCTGTCTCCAACGAGCATAACGATCTTGTACAGGTATCGGTATGTAGTTAATTATCTTCTCTGCGAGTTTGCCTGACAACGGTTCGAACGATGAGACGAGTCATTAATTTTTTACGTAATTAACGAACGAGACACGAGATATAGGAAAGAAAAAAACGAAAGGGAGAAGAGAAAGAAGAAGAGTTTTGGTGAGCCAGTAGAAACGAATGCAAAAGAGTACTCGAAATGTGCTGATTGCATTACCACGGAAAGACGAATGGCCGCTTCGGTGAATGGGCTCGTTAACTCGCACGCTTACAAATTGCCCACCATTTTCCTTCTCGTAGACCCCATCCTTTTTTTCTTTTTTTTTACTCCAGAGCGGGGAAAATCCGACGGATCTAGATATCCAGTTGGTGGGCTACCCTATGAGAGAATTCCAGGCTTGACGTAGATAGCATCTCGTTTTCATAACCGGTTTAGAATTATCATGTTGGCTTCCTCTGTAAATTAACTTTGCATAATTGAGCTGGTTTCTGCTAAAGAGTAGATAATCTCCGTTTTGGCGCCCTTGGCGTAGGCGCGAATATTTGGATTGACCTCCTCTCCCTACTTCCTTCGTTCCAATGCATTTCGATAACACATTATCATCGATTCCGATCGATGCCATCATGAATCACGTTTCAAATTAGCTCTCACCGATATTCCCATCCATTGCCGATAACCGTCAAGCAGTTATATCGCACTGATTTTGAAACGTATATGTAGGTATATTTCATGGTTGATAATATGGTCTCATTCGCCTCTCATAAATAATATTTGTATAGTACGTAAATTAAAAGATTTTCAGAGGAACGAGAGAACGTAGTCGTATTGTTCGTTGACTCGTTTTGAAGATTACACCCTTTTCCTTCTCAGACGAGAGGGCTTCTTTAAATTACAAAAGGGTTCATAAAAAAGAGTCTCGACGTGACGACGATGGTCTCTCTCTCTCTCTCTCTCTCTCTCTCTCTCTCTCTCTCTACCTCCCTCCCTTTCTGTCTCTCTCTCTCTCTCTCTCTCTTTCTCTCGTCCCTTCTCTAATAACAGATTCAATTACACTCGTGTACGCCCGCTACGAGAGATTCCCATGATGTAGAGAAGCATGCAAAATGTAAGAAGACGAGCAGAGTTAGTAGAGAAACTAGTGGCTGCGAACGTGACTCTTACCTTTACCTTATCGTAGCAACGTTTTACCTTCGCCTTTACCTTTGTAACCGGTGACCTCGTCCCCAAGGAAATGACCGAGAACGATCTAATAAAGCCACGGGACCTTCCGCTTCTATACTACTTGCCCGAATATTTTTTTATGTCTTCCATATAAAAGCCGTAAGCGGCAGGATTGGGGATCCTTTATCGGCAATCGAGGGAATATTTCTGTACCGTAATATTTTCTCAAATATCATTGTATTTTTCACTTCGTCGTATGCCACATGCACACATTCATGTCCATTCGCTTCCTCCTTTTACAAAAATCGTCGAATTATCGATCGATATGATAGTAAATTTGTTAGGGTGGCAAAAAAGAAAAGAATAAATTACGCCATATGTAGCTATGCGAATCGTAAAATTCTTATATTTATACATTAATACTTAACGTTTAGCTTTCGAGTCACGGTTTCATCGTAGGTTTCTTCATAGTCTAAAAAAAAAAAAAAAAGAAAAAAAAAAAGAAAATAACTTGTTGGAAAAGAGATAATATTTAAAAGAAAAATCGATAGACATGGATTTTTTTATTATCGCAAGCGCACAATTTATTCTCCGGTTTGATCACAGTAAGTACATACGGACAAATACAAATATTCTCTCATATTTCTATCATCATGGTAATTTCATCGACATCGATCAAATCCATAGGCATACCATTAATGTAAAGAATACGTAAAAAAGAAAAACGCATCACCATTTCCATATAACATTTCGTAGGATAGCATTATGCTCCAGAGAGAATGCTCTGGAGATAACGTTCGATTATTCATCGGCCGTCCGGCTCGTCCGCACGATGATCCGTTCCAAGGGGATGAATAACGTGGAACTCGCTGAGAAACTGAATGAGAATGAAAACCAAATACAACGAATAAAGAAGATATCCATAGGAACGCCGTGCAGTCGCTGCTGTAATGTTCATGTAAATGATCGTAGTCAATAGCGAACAGAATAGAAATGTTAGACATCCCGGTGCCATGTTGCTCACACGAATTTTCGCCTTTAAATCCGAAGAATATGCGGCCTCTATACCATAAGTCAATCCCAGTCCCAATAAAGTATTAAATATAGGACTGGCAAAACAGGCCATATAACCCATCTTTGAGAATCCTTGACGAGCTATCATTGTATTGGATATTAAATCTGTAATGAGAGATTTCCATCGTTAATATTTCACTGTTGAAATTAACAAATGACTTTTTCGATTTATCGTCGTTCTTAACTTTAATATTCTACATCTATACGTAGATTTACAACAACATAAAATTGTATTCATAGAACAGTTGATGCCATTTGAAATAAAAAGTATTTCTTATATTCGAAATGTAATTACGGATTCTATTTATCCTGATCGGGCGTTAATTAAGTACTAATTGCAGTGTCATATACACGAAGTATTAAATACGATATGACATTTCATTATGTTATTCTTTATGGATTATAGGAACTATTGGAAATGAGTTTAAAATTGTATTTTTCTTTTTTTTTTCCTTTTGTTTTTTTTTTTTTTTTTTTTTTTATTCTTTTTCTTCTTTCTTCGATAAGGAATAAAATGTTGTCATTCGACATAAGCATAAATAAATAACGTCGTACATTCGCGTTATAATTTTTCTTTTAGCGTTATAATTTCATTTAACTTCCATCGAGTCTCATGGAAACTTTGTTTTCTTATCCGAGTCTTCCTTGGTGCAATAAGCATGCTTGAAAAAGCTAGTTCGGTGTAATCGCATTTCATGAGACGAGAATAAACGTCGTCGCATGAACGGAAATAATTGAATTCGAGTTGAGCGAGATACGAGGTATTAGATAAGTTCCGATTTCAGGACGATAATTGAGACGTCGAAATGAGCGATACCAAATATAGTAGGAATGAAATTACGGTGCTTTGAGGTAAAACGATGCAGTTAAGAAAGTTTAAATTCATTTTGGCCGATAAAGTGAACGAACAATTCGATCAAAAAAGAGGACCTTGTTTCATTTTAAAAGGAACAATGAAATATTAGTAGAAAAAAATAATTAACATTAATGACATATTTCCCTTTCAACTCGATTCTTAATCTTCATTTGTGATATTTATTAAATATTATCTATATCATTTTTATTTCATCCTTATGAAGAAAAAAAAATAAATAAATAAATAAACAAATAAATGCACGGAAATCTTTTGCTTTGTATCCGAAGGCAATCAATTTTTACATTTTGATTGAAAAACAGCTCCGTTTGTAAAAAACTGTTTGTAGTATATCGTTCTGTATATACGAGAGCTTTTCATCGATCGAACGTTATTTACTTTATCTTTTTTTTTTTTTTTTTTTTTTTTTTTATTGAATGATCGATGTGCTCCGTATCGAAGGAGTAAATTAATTCACAAAGAAAATTCCTAAAAATAATTCGAACTTTGAAATGATTGAATTGTAATGATCCGTACTGTTTAAAGAGCATTGTTATTTTTCATAATTCATGAGATGTCAAAACGAAGCCTTAACGTTAGTTCTCGTAAACGCTAATAAGCATGCACGTTCGTTATCTACATATGAAATACATTTTTCATATTAACTCACCCCCGATGCTATTACCCCAGGCAAGAAACGTGATTCCCAGCATGGCTTTTGAAATACCACAGGCGAATTCAATGCATCCTAGCACGGCCATTATTTCTCTAGCCACGAAATAAACTGTCAGCATGCCGATCAAGAATCCAAAAAACGCGAAAGCCTATATTTATTAATTCTTTTTCAGAAATCTTTCTCAATGGTAAAACGTAAGAAATTAAAAAAAAAAAGACAAGAAAAAGAAAAGAAGAAAAAAAATACTTGAGTACTTTGTCAATGTACTTGAATACTTTGTTTAAATAGTAGAAATGATAAGACTCACATTATGATACTTCGGTATGCGATCCACGTTGGTCGTTAGAAACACAATTACACCAATTAGTGTGCTAGAAGCGAAGAATATCGGTAATATCGGCACCTTGCCAATCTTCAATTGCCAGACTGCGAAGAAACGATGAAAATTAAATGGAGGTCAACACTTTTGATGGCAAACGATCGTATCGTCAACGATTCAGTGACTAACGTCTCTCTCTCTATCTCTCTCTCTCTTTTTCTCTCTCTCTTTAGTTTCTTGTAAAATCAGCGGAAATGAATTGACACGATATTCATGTTGGACTAATGTTAGTATAAAGAAGAAAGATTTGCACTTTTTTCACTCTCGTATTGTTCGTTTCGATATTGTTCTTTTTTTTTTTTTTCTTTTATCAATACCATCTAATACTCGACTGTGAATATACGTGAAAATTTTTGGTCATCCATCGACAATACGTTTTCGTTCACCGAGACTTATTTCCGTTCGGCATATTTTCTTCGAAACTTTTATTTTATTTTTCCATAACAAAATTCATGCGTTCACATCGATAAATTACTCGGTATATCTATCGCGCGGAAACCCCTGACACTCGTGATATTCTTCCAAAATGTTTTGATACGAAAAATGCTTTTTTCTACTCTTTCTTTTTTTTTTCTTTTTTTTTCTTTTTTTTTTATCAGCAAATACAAGATTTACCATATTAATTAATTATCTGGAATGAGATTAAGCGTGAGATATATTAAAGAGAATGAGAAATCAAGGAAAAAAAAGAAAAAAAAGAAAAAGGAAAAAGAAGAGAGAAAAGGAAAAAAGAGAAGAAAAACGATGTGAAGACGGAGAAACGCGTTTGTCACGTAATATTAGGTCGTACAGCTCGGAGGAGTCATGAGCCATAAGGAAATTAAATGCGAATTAAATTTCCCTTGAACGTGCTAGGAATGTTTCCCTCCTTGTGCAAAATCATTTCTTCGAGGATTCAAGGCGGCCATCGTTTATTGGTACACGTAAAAAGAAAAGAAGAAAAAGATAAAGAAAAAGAGAAAGAGAGAGAGAGAGAGAGAAAGAAAGAAAGAGAGAGAGACAGAGATAGAAAGAGAGAGAGAGAGAGAGAGAGAGAGAGAGAGAGAGAGAGTGGGAAAAAGAGAGAGAAAGAGCTTTTTACGTGTAGGCGTCTCGAGGATTAATGCGACTAACCGTTTAATAGAAACAACGCCACCGTCGGTGTCACACACAGCTGGAAGCAATTTAGCAGCTTGGACCAACCTCTCTTTTCTGCCGTAACGTTTACAACGGGTATAAATAATTGTAGGAGAAACCTAACCGGTGAACATAGAACCAGGATGATCTTAAAGAATTGGTTCGCTTGTTTCCAATCCTCTCTCGAAATCGGATTAATGTCGTAGAGAAATTCTTTGAAAAGGCCTCTTGGTCGTTCGGATATATCATCGACTTCTCTCTCAATTTTAATGCCATCATTACGAAATCGTACTCTCTTCAATTCAATGAATCTTGCGACGTCTGTATTTTGGAAATATTTTTTGTTCTATTATTTTTTTTTCGTTTTCTTTTTTTTTTCTTTTTTTTTTTTTTTTTTTTTTTCTTACAACAAATATGTATATTTCGATCGATGCTGCACAGGTATGTTAAAGAAAATTTTTAAATAAATTCTTTCCAAACAATGTAATTCAAATGTTTTCTTTACTAAACAACCGAAGGATCGCGAAACAAATTTATATATACTAACGCGAACTCTTTGTTTGGAAAAAAGAGTAAACGAGGGAAAGAAAGAAAAGAAAAGAAAAGAAAAGAAAAGAAAAGAAAAGAAAAAGGAACGAAATGAAACGAAACGAAAGAAAACAAAAAATAGTAGGATTACATTCAGTTGAAGAAAAGAATTGCCTGAAGGTTGAAAAAAAAGAAAAAAAGACTGTTGAATAATTTAAAGGAAGGATAAAAAAAATAATATTATATTTAATTTACGAAAAGGATAATAATAATGGATAGAAGGGAGCAACTTTTGATATTTTCACTATGTACATAAATGGAATTTTTTTTAAATAATTTCAGCGAAAATATAAAAACGTAGAATAGTTTGGCAATTGACGTAAAATCATTCGCGTATACTTAATAAGAAAAAAAGAACAGCGAGGGGAAGAAATAAAAAAGAAGAAATGAAAAAAGGAGACGAAAGAAAAAGAAAAAAAGAAAGAAGGAAGGAAAGAAAGAAAGAAAGAAAGAAAGAAAGAAAGGAAAAAAAAAAGAAAATACAAATGAAAAAAGCGCGAGAGAAACGGAATTGGTACCGAGTTTGGCTCGGAAGCCAAAAGGACGGCTCCTCGTGGGAATCCGTGAGATGGCGATAGCGTCCGTATCTTTGTTCAGCAGATAAGCATGTAATACATCTGGATCCTGTACGCTTGGGATTCTACCTGAAAGCACGGAAGCGTGTCTCGAAAAGTAAAGGGATAAAAGGTGAGAGAGAGAGAGAGAGAGGGAGTGGCGGGGAGAAGGAATGGATACTTTCCATGACATTGTACTCCTCTCGACGTTCGTTTTAGAACTGGCACGAGCGAAACGCACTTTTCACTTTTTCCTCTCGAGTATCACGCCATTGCATTATCACGACATCGACAATGAAGAGAACGTAGAGGAGAATGAAGCCTGTAATTATGAACGACATCAACGTTGAAATAGCAATTTAACGGTGGACGATAGGGAATACTTGAAATTCTCTCAAATTTACACTTTTGTTGCTTCATTTTCTCTTTGATCTTTGTAGCCGTGAACGAATTCTCGTGATATTTCAAAAAGATATATCGTGTCACGATTTAATGTTAAATTTATTTCGAATGACAAAGGGCATTTGTATTAGGTATAAAGTTTTATATTCTTTATTATGTTCGTAATGAATCGTGATCTATCGAGTAATAAATCGATATGTGTAATATCGAGCGAAAATGAAGCATCGATAATTATCGGGATAGATTAAATTTATCCTGACGTTCATTTTGGATAATGACAAAAATACGAGCGACGAATCACAACCTTCCGCTTAGACGGCGTCTTTTAAGCGAAGTTGAATTTAGGTCAATGCATTTTACTACAAACCAGATTTCGATGAAATTCGAATCTCTCGCTGATTAATAGGTACATATACACACGTACTCGTTTCATTATCGATCGTATTCCTCGGTAATGACCTTTTTGTTTTTATTTTATTCTTTTTCTCTCTTTTTATCTCACAAATCCCATTTAATTTTCAATATAATAACTGAATATATTAACCGTTGCAATTATTCCCTTAATCGAATTTCCTCGTACAAGAATTCATCTCGTTTTACGTTAAACCTTACAAGAACGATCTTATATCATAACGAGTATCGAAAAGTTCTCTCTTCTTAAGTATTAGAAGAGTCTACGAACATGCGTGACGCTGGCTGAAATGGGATATAAATAATCCCTGTCCTAATTTATAGCGGATGAAAATCTTTGCGTAAGAAACTATGCGAGAGAATGAAGAAGGGTGAGAGTACGAAAAAAACAAGAAAACAAAAAAAAAGAAAAAAAAAAGAAAAAGAAAGACGAAGATAGAAAGGAAAAGGAAAAGAAGATGGAAAGAGAGAAATTGCTGAAAAGTCTCTGAACGTCAGATTGCGTGTCTCAGGTAGGGAGACGAATTCTCTTCGGTCGACTTAATTAAATTCATCCACCTCCCTTTCACCCTTCTTCATGCCTTTTTTAAAGTTGTTACTATCAGTGACAATAGTAGTAATAGTACTAATAATAGTAGTAGTAGTAGTAGTAGTAGTAGTAGTAGTAGTAACAGTAGTAGTAGTAGTAGTAGTAAAAGTAATAGTAGTAGTAGTAGTAGTAGTAGTAGTAGTAGTAGTAGTAGTAGTAGTAGTAGTAGTAGTAGTAGTACAGTAAAGCTCATACTTATGGCTTCCCATAGATAAACTCTCTCGTCCTGCACAACATAAGTTATCCAGCAGAGTGCCGCTACGTAAAAGCATGTATTTCTCATCAAAGGCTTAAAATATATACGAAAAGGCTTGACCAGGGCAATGGAACCCGCGATTATCGTTGTCACAAAGATGCCCGCGCTTATCAATTCCGTGAACATGATTATAGTATCCTCGCTACGGGATACGAGAGACGTGAAGATGTCAGGCGTTCCGTTTCCAAATGTCAATATCATCACACCAGTAATATTTTCTGACAGATGCATAACGCTGGTTATCACTGATAAGGATGGACAATAACTGGAATCAAGATAACGCGACAAGGTAAAATTAATTCAATTCTTTTTTTGGTTCAAACTTATGATATCTTTTATATATCTATTTTGATTTTATATTCTTTTTCTTTTTTTCTTTTTTTTTTTTTCTTTTTCATTCGAAATAATCCCGATTTTTTTCATATTTTATATTTTTAACGATAGAGAACAATGGAAAAATGTTTGAACCTTTAATATTAGTTAACAATAGTGAAATGATCATTTAAAAATAATGAGGAGTCACAGTTCAGATCAAATTGTCCTTTACTTCATAATAACTTTAATCTCGTCGTTACGAATTATCTATGTCATTCGTTTATTTAAATCGACATTATTTTAAATGTTCACGTTAACAGTGAAGTTAAAGTTGACGCATAACCGAGATCATCGTCGAATTATCGCTCACATATACAGGAGCTTTATTAGTTCCGAAAGTTGCTCGCATCGATTATATCGACCATTTCGTCGTCGATGTCAAGTTGCGCTTCTTTTTAATGGTTAGACATAAAAACGTTCTCGTTGTCGGTCTCTCAATTAAAATCACATCGTAATTTTACCTCGAATTACCAAGCATTAGCAAATATGTTCGAAAGGAGTACGAGGTAAAGACGAAAAGGATAACGAAAAGGAGCATGATTAAAAATTACATCAACTACTTATGCAATTGAAAATAATTCCATCAAGATCCTAGTCGAATAAGTAATTCTTCAATTTCGTAAACCAACACGAAAATATGGCTACGATTACTGTTAATAGTTTTCTTTTTTCTTTTTTTTTTTTTAAGAGATTTCATTTTTAATTACATAATACAGGTTTTAATGTCTGTATTTTTTCATTTACCATCATCGATAGATAATCGAATAGAAAAAAGAGAAAAAAATAATACGATATATCATATATATCTATTGGCAATAAACTCTATCGATATTTCGCGATATATTGAGGATGTTCGATATATACATACATGTGGGATTTCGCGGTTGAAAATCACGTACAATATCGTCAACCATGTCACGTAATCCGTTCATCGATTCGTGAATCGAAGAGAAAGAAAATAATTCGTTTATGGATTCTTAATTTTTCGAATGTAAACTCGACTTTCGAGGGATGCATTTCTAGATCAGCTATCGTATTTCTCATAAAGCACGTGTTATAAAAATAAATTTTACAAAGCTGTTTTAGCCTCTCTATCTTTAAATCCATTTATCGTCTATTAAGAGCACCACACAATAACGAGAATTTCACTGATCGACCCAACGGAGAAACTCAAGCGTACGTAGGAAAAGTCTACTTCGAATAAAAACTGAAAATCGCCTGAGTGTGTTTAGCTACGCCTGGAGTAAAATGCTTCACGGTTCTCAACCTGATTTACGCGAAGTCCTTAACTTTTTGGTGCCCTCATCCCTTACTCTTGTCTCTCGCGAGCTCTTTCGCGAGCTCGCTCGTTCATATCCCAATAATAACGGTAAGTTTAAACGAATTTTCCGGTCGATAGAATAGATTGTTTTTAGAGATACGTTGACACAATTTTCTTTCTATTTCACCGCGACTACGATCGATTTTCTTTATTCGCAATATGAAACATTAATAATGCGAAATGACATGCATTATATAAAATGTAAATGTCTCGCATTATTACAATCCTCATTTTCTCTTCTCGCTTGTTAATCGCACAATTTAAAATTTTTGATATTAATTAATTAATTTTTTTTCTAATTATTTTCAATACTGTTATCGTTAATCCAATGAAATAAAATTTCAATCGCAATATCGATGATCGATATTATACTTATAAGTCCAAAAATGATGTAACACTTTCAATAAAATATTTGTAATAACATACAAACTGTCTAACGTGACTCCAATGATGAGGAATAGATAGAAGAGCCAGAGAAGGAAAAGAAAAATGCCGCAGAGAAATAGGGGTATATTTTCCGATCGGAAAATGCAAAAGAGCTCTGCGGTGTACTGAACGACGGAGTCCCTGTAGCAGTCTGGTATTTTCTTCACCCATTCGCAACGTTCCTCTGCAGGAATATACCAAAGATATGAACAATCATCCTGTAAAAGACAACTCAGGAGGCTCGTATCCTATGTTGAAACGAGAAAATCCTGTGAGAAATTTACTTCGCGTATCGGTAAATGTCCGTATCTGAGAAACCGTCTCAGTAAACCTTCTCTTTCCATAACATTTTTCGAAATATTTACGAAGAAAGTCATTTAACCTAAACTTTTCGATGAAACGTTTACCAAATCCTACAAATCGATTTTATTCGCTCGACTGTCGAAGATATTCAATTGAATATAAGAAAATAAAGAAATTTCTTTACGATCAATGTATTTGTATATGTGTATGTGTATGTGTGTATGTCTATGTGTGTATGCGCGTGTGTGTATATCGATCAATTAATTCATCGTTTATACGACACGTGTAATATAAAATTCGTGATATAGTTTTTCACGTGTAGGATTTAAAAAATAGTTATAAAAAAAAAATAAAAAAAATAACATTTCATGTACAATATCCTTATCACGTCTTACATTTACAATGATTTATCGTTTCATAGTCAGAGATACGTGGCTACCTATCAAACTGATCCATATAAATATTTCGACAGTCGAATCCAGGGCAGCATGGTTGCGTAAATCTTTGAAGATAGGAATAAATCGATAAACGTACGGACGTCAAGATTTATGGATTCTGCGCGCGAATCTTATAGATCCATAAATTCGTGCGTGCATCCGTAGACTAGAAAACACGTAGATCGTTTTACGTAAACGTAGCGAAAGAAATGATTGCTATTGCCGAACGTTATGAACGTTGGCTATTTAATTTTACTTTGAACTTTATTAAAACTAGAGATAGTAAATAGACATCGAAAAATACACGTTTCGTTTCATTTTTAATAGAATTGTTCAATTAGATTTTATAGAGAGATCATTTTTATTTAAGTTAGAAACAAAATAGGAAACAAAATAAAATAGCTTATCTTTATAGAAAATGATTATACTTGAAGTATTAACTATTGCTATTATTCATTCTGAAATATTTTAACAATTTGTGTAGATTTACATGCTCGCATGTAAGCTCGCAAGTAAGCTCGCATCTAACAGCTAGTTTCAACGGACGTTGGATTAGAATTCGAACACTATTTAACTCGAAAGTTTAGGCCCTTGATTGGTGAACGTAGCGCGGTTAAACTCGATTTAAATTTTAAACCGCGTTAGTGGAATCGTCCCTAATCTAAGTACAATAGAAATGTTGTAACTTCGATAGTTCCCGTGTTATAAAGTTTCCAATTTTGCGTAATACGATCGTGGGTCACGCAGTCTCAAACATTTTTAAACTTACTGAAAGTTTTATCTTTTAAAAGGGCAATAAAAGAGAACATAGTATATTGGAAATGAAACAGAGAAAAAACGTTTCATTTATTTTTTTTTTTTTTTTTTTTTTTTTTTTTTTTTTTTTTTTTTTTTTTTTTAGTTCGTTTTTAAACGTTCCTAAAACGTATGTGTTTAAACGTTTTTTTATAGGATTTAAAGGAAAAAAAAAAAAAAAAAAAAGAAAATAAATAAATTGAGAAATTTATCGAAATGTGAGAAAATTTCACAAGTATCGTAGTGCGCTTATATTAAAGAACATTTCAGAAGAGATAACTTTTGAAAATTGTTCGCATAACATGCACTTTTCGTAATTTATGTCTCTCTGGTTTCCGAATAGATAGAAAAATTCCAAAATGCCGCGAGGTACTATATCTATATTCATTCTGTACGGACGTCCATTTACGCAGAATGAAATTTAGTGAAACTTTGTTTTCTTTTAAATACGTATAGTATAGTTTCCATTTCAATTTCGTTGAGTTCTAGGAAACAGAGCGCATTCCTATGCGGATGTGAAAAATAAGCGAGGATTGTTCTGCTTTCATTAAGTAAAGGGTTAGAAAGAATGCTTTTTTCATGAGTAGTAAGAAAACATTCATTAAACACGATACATCATTTTCTACATATATATATATATATATTTCTTTTTTTCCTTCTTTCTTTGCCATTTTCTACAAAATATTTGTTGCGCGCATTATAAACTTGTCCGTAGCTCCTTCTAAATAATGAATAAATATCTCGTAGTTAAATAGATATATGTACGTAATAAATATAGTAAATCTTTTGAATAACTTCGAAGTAATATATTACATCAAGATGATTCTTATCCATATTATTATGATAATTATAAGCAATAACAAAAGTTTGATATGGAAAAAGTTTTTTCGTAGAATTTTTCCTCAAGAAGAAATCTAAAAATTCGTTAGAAAAATATGCGTTTTTTGATTTATAATTCGTCACGTGAGAATGCAGTGTTTTAGCTCTGAGATGAGATATAGAAAGAAGACAGATGGCCTCTGGCTTTTTCTACAGCCTTGTAATTGTGCATTCAAGGGTGTCGTTGTTCCACGACACTGAGGTGAGACTGAACAGGAACACTCGTCCACACTCGTCCGATGCGAGCAAGAGGCTCATTAGACACAGAGAGTCTCTTATTCCTCTCTTCTTCTCTCCCTTTTCCGGTTTGTCAGAGGACGATAAAAAGAGAAGTGGCAGTAATGAGGACGGAAGGAAATGAAGCTCTCGAGTTTTCGAAGAATGGATCCTCCCTTTTCCCTTCTCTCCTTTTCGCTCACTCTTTATATATCTCTCGTGTTCACAGTCCTCAATGGCATGGCCCAGGGCGGTATTATATCGACAGTTTTTCGATACCAATATCGGCGTGACCGAGGGAGCAGCGCAACTCTATCGTGGAAAAAAATATTAACCCGTTGTACTCGCTGTGATTGCTTTCAGTCGACTGAAGGACGGATGCACACGTTCGTGAATTCTATGAATCAACGGCAATTTTCGCGGTTTTCACAATGGCGAAGAATAGAAATTAATTATTTAAGTAACTCGATCGTTTCCTCGCCATTTTAGTCCAA